GGAGGAATATTGATTCGAAACTTTGCTCATAAACCGATTTCAGAACCGACAAACCGTAATAAAGTTTCAGTAAAACGGATGATTCCTTCGAGAGATATTTAATTGGAAAAAATATCATTTGTTTGTAGAAAGGCGAGAAAACCAAGTCGTTTTCAACAATTAATACCTATAGAAGAGATCATTCGGTTTACTGGAACTTTTAGGAGGGTTTATCTCCCGTGAGAATTGTCTATGAGCAAAGTTTCGAATCAATAATCATTCATTGTGTTCTTTTACTAATAACTGGTCAGTGGTTTCGAAAACAATAAAATAGTCGTAACTACAGAATGACTTCTCATGAAGATGATTCTTTTCAAGATTCTTCTAGTCTCACCAAGTTCTACATGTGAACCACAGATGTATTCGATTTGGCACTAAGATTTGGAGACCTTTTCTTGCAAGCTAATATTTTTCTGCGACAAATTCAATCGTTTCATAACTTTCAGAAAAAGTCTCACAACACAAAACAGCTGTTTCACTGAACCTGATGCTAAATGAAAAAATGCTTCAAGTTCCGTGCAACAACAATTAAATTTTAGAATAAAAGTTCCAAACGATTTCGGCAAACGTTTTGAAGTTTTGATGTTGATGCACAAAACTGAAAGAACTCTACTTTGATAAAGTTATGTTCAATACTTTTTTGTTTGTATCATTTAGTGGATTTTTAAAAAATTGTAAAATCTTTGAACTAGTGGTATTGACGTCAGTGATGATATTTTTAAGTATTATATTAGTACCTTGACATTGTGAATAAAATCTTGCAATTCTTCTCCTATCGTTAGAACAGAACGTGCTCTTTTGTTCAAAAAAGGGTAGAAATCTTTAATGTTTTTTTCATGCCATGACTTTTGGTAGACTAAGAAAAAGAAGTCATTTCCGCTACTTTTATAACTAAAATATGAACTGCAATCTGCTACCTATTGAGGCTACGTGAAAGTCAGCCAAAAGCTATTCAAAACAGACTTTGAGTCGGTATCGGGCCGGCTCGTTCATACGTTATTCGTCCGGTTCTGTTGAATTTTTAAAATCGACCAGTCTTCACTTTTTATTTATCAGTTTCTCATCGATTTTGTATGACTCTGTAGCTAGTCTATTTTTCTAGTTTTTATCGACGTTCGTGACTTCAAAGATCCCAAAACAATGGCCTATAACTCTTTAACTGAGAATTTTCTAGTCGTTGTCATAATATCAGCTCTAAATATTGAGCTCGTGGATCCTCATCACGTGTTAATCATTGTAGATTATGCTGAATAAAATTATTGTTGTCACGAAAAGTTAACCGGCCACATTAAGTTAAGTTTCTTCGAAAGTAAAGATCTTCATCTCAGAATTTTGAGCTTACTTTTCTGAATCAATTTTAACAGGCTGTTGAAAACTCACAATGGCTAGTTTCAATTGATTTGGAAGCAACACGAGAGACTTCATCAGGACCTTGTACGGCAACTTTCACTGAAGACCTTAATAAGTTAGTAGACATGCCATTTATCAAGGCATAAATGTACTTAGCCCTGAAATCACATTCTAAAATGTTTAATCTTCATATTATGCATCATTTATTAATTTGAGTGTTTTCATTCAATTATGTTTTTTGATTCATGACCAGTTTCTCATATAAGTTTAATTCCATCTACCTAAGTATGCCACTTGTCTAATGCATAATTACAAACACAACATTATTGTTCCATTGGAGAGCGTTTATATTGTGTAACAGTCAATTTCTTAGAAAGATATGTGATGGGTCTATCTTCTTCAGAATTGACTTATAATAAATCTATACCGATTCCGCCAACACATTCATCTGTTTGTTGTTTAAAATGGAATCTGTTATGTGAAGGTCGTAAAACTACATCAGTTGTAGAAATATGCTTGAGTTGTTTGAATACTTGAACTTCTTCATATAGCTGGTACAAATATCCTAAGTGGTTCGGCGATTTGAGAAAAATTGAGTAATAGTTTTTTTTTAACTACACTCAGCTGCTTTGACAAATTTTTAAGCTTCATTGGTATTTTATAGTAGTATTGTATTTGATAGACCATGTCTATTATGTGGACTTATACGAATTTAACAATTTTCTATATGATGTTCAAGATAATCGGTTACCATTTGAGCTATTTTAATAATATTTGTTGACGATTTTGAGCACTTATCAGTGAGATTTCTGTTCTATTATCTATAACATTTAGTAACTTATGTGTCATATAAATAAATTTGGACATATGACGTCCGCAAGGTTCAAATATTAAATTATTAGCATTAGTAATTTGAGAATTAACATCGACTAGTGTCGATGAACAAAGAAGAAGAGTAATTCTTTTTTCATAATAGAGCTGGATAATTTATACAAACGTGCTTCATAAACGAGATTGAGATTAATTGAAAATGTTGTTTAGGAATGATTAAATGTTTCTGATCAGCAACGAGATGAAGAAGATACCAATGGATTTAATCATTGTCTAAAAGAATTTATGTAATAAAATTTGTTGCCACATACGCAATGACAAAAGTTTTTGTGTCGAATTTTTATTTCTAAATCAATTCGATCTATTGTATTAAAAAGTGTTGAGTTTGCTGCTCCTTTTATAAGGTTTTTATGAATAAACTTGTTTTTATGTATGATTTTTACAAAAATCTACATGAATAATTGATATAGCTGATTCAGTATTTACCATTGCTTTAGTTAGTTGCACCAATCTAGATGTAAATAGGAGAAGTTTATGTCGCTCATGTCGTGAAAATTGTCGTGACTGACGATTTCTAAAAAAATCTGTGTAAAATCGTTATTAATCGTATGTTGAAAAAGAATTGGAGATTAAATCAGATTTTATCACGATTATGATCAAGAAACGATTTTTCGAAAATCCTCGATGAATCACAGCGATAAATCGTGTTTAAACGTCAATTTCGGTAATTGACTGTGAAATATCATTTAATTAGAGAAATATTTTAAGATCGACAAAATTTAGAGAAAAAAGTATAATCTCTATGCAGTTTATTAACATAATCAACGAGATTTGAAAGACAAAGAAAGATTTAGTTTCTATGTGGATGTCATAGCAGTGACATCAACGAAACAAAATAATTTAAGAAAACAATCAAATGAAATGAAGTTTGAAGTTCTCATGCACATTTATTTGTTCTAAAATATTTCTTGTTGATAATAAATAGTCTATTTCAGATGCGTTTTTAGATGAAATATTGATCAAACTCGACTCCTCTGCTTCGTGAATTCAGTATGAAATGATTCTGTCGAGTTACGACTAATGTAAAGTTGCACAATTCTTTTATCAAATAATGTCTTCTATTGTCATAATTTTACCTAGTTTTTCTTGTCATTTAGAATTTTTATTCATTTTCCTTTAGATTTTTAATTTATGAACGAAAAAAAAATGGGATATGTTCTCCAAGAAAAATTCGCTCAACATCAATTTGTACATATAAATATTTTATTTTTTTAATTTTTTTCCGAAGCTTCTCTCATCTAGCTACATGAAACTGTGTGTCGTATTGTTGTTTTTGCTTGTACTATATATTTTATTCATGTAAACCTATCAAACCATTTGGTTTTTAAATAAAAATATTAGTTAGCTTGAATCACCACTAAGAGAATTCGAATAAAGTCATAAAACGAAGTTTACATGTGTAAAATTGCATAAATCATCGATATAATGAAGGACGAAAATCGACTACAAAATCACGATTTATCACAAAAATCGTCTAAAGAATTAAAAAATGCTGATTTAACACGTTTTAGCGCATGATTATCGTTGTGATGAATAGCAATTAATGGCCTATTTTTCAGTGATTTTGAGAACATGGGTGATAGCTCAGTAAATTGAATGGAAATGCCCCCTAAAAGTAACCCAGTTTTTGAAAATTTGAAGGCATTATACAATTGCGAACAATATTGTTTCGTCTAAAACTAAAATATCTGGTTGTCTGCTTATGCATACAATCATCTGTTAGATTATTTTTTCAATCACAAACTTTACAAGTAGTAAATCATTGGTGAAGTAAGGATGTAATATTAATTGACAGCTTCTTAACGTGTTGATTGTTTTAAATCATTCCGAGCTTTTTTAATAGATGTGATTGATGTTCAATTTTCAAATTTAGGAAAAGAGCTCTGTTAGAAAACGGATCTTTGAGTTGATGTAGGATGTCAACAATGATCATTCTTTTTCGTATCATGAGAATATTGTTTGAGTCTATTAACCATAGTTGTTAATGAAGGAATTACTGATTGTCTGTATGTAAAATTAGGTTATTTTGTATTCAAATGACGATTGATGATACTTTTCAAAAAAAATCATGTAAATCTTGTTTGACATTAGTATGCTTTAAAAATTTATTTCAATGTACCCAGGTCGAACCAGCACGGTCGTAAACAGCCGTATACGGAGAAATACGGCAAAATACATGGTCCAGTATTATGATCGTATATCTCCGTGTCGTTTACGGAGAAATACGGTGATATACAGAAAAAAAAACAGTCGTTTACGGTCCTCGTATACAGAGTCCGTATATGATCTCCATTTTGCTCCGTACCTCTTCGTATACGATCGTATATGTCTGTATACGGTCACGGTGATATACGACCGTAATACTGGACCATGTAAACCGCTAAAATACAACCGCAAACGGTCGTATATGGAGTGTATACGGTCGTTTACAGTCGTGTACGAAGTTCGTAATCGCCGACCTGGGTATTGATAGACGACTCATATCTCAAGAGTTCTTTTCTAAAATTACGATGAAGCTCATTTATCAAATGTTGAATCATGACTTGTTTGAACAATTTCAATCATTCTTACGATATAAATTAAGAACGTCATTAAAATAAGATGTAGCCAATACATCATGCAATTGTTTTTGTTGTCTAGATGCGCCACTGCTTTTTTTTGTGAATTATTGTTATTGAAAGATAACAATGGTGAAGTGCAATCTCAAAGTCTGAACATTTTTAAAATTTAGATTTATTATTATTAAAGTATAGTCCAGCTGATTGAGTTAATTTACCGCGAACAATTTCAAGAATTTCATAATTGTCTGATTCATCGTTAGCCTTCGTAATATCCTTGATGCCTTTTAAAAAGCATACGACATCCTCAGAAAGATGTCCGGAAAAATTTGGTAAACTATCAAATCGAGCTTTTAGAGTGTTTGTTAATAGTGTTTGATCCGCCATGTTATTCGTATTCAAGTTATAATGTTGATGTTATAGGGAGAGTTGAATTGTAGTGATAAACAAGAAGATGAATTACTAATAGTAGTATTGGGTAATACTTTGGTACTATTTTTCTTAACTCGAAGTCTTGCTTCGGTATCCGTTATGCATGCATTGTAATTATAATCAGTATGTCAAGGTAAATAATCTAATGAATGAAATTCAAAGAAAGTAAATTAACGAAATTCTATTTCAAATTTCTGATTATGATTACATAAATCAATAAAAGTTCAAAAATTAATTTTGTTACCTTCCTTCTTCAAAAAAAAAATATATTGGAAAAATATCTTATGAGTTTTTCGTTTGGAAAACAAAGAAACACTTTCTAAAATAATATCTCTAGTGTACTTGAATTGATCATTTCGTTCTAATAAGATAAATTTGCTGACTTGGGAGTTAAATATAAACTTTTTGTATTCTACAATGATAAATAAATGCTAAAAAAATGAATTGAGTCTTCTTTTTGAAGGGCTTGAATCAAAACGAAATTCCAAGTCCATTTATAAAGAGGCCTTGCCATGAATGTTTGATTGATTCTCTGTTCCGCATAGGCTTAATATTTTTTTCTTATTTTTGTTAATCTTTATTTTAAGTCATTGTTGCCCATTTGTTAGCATAGTTCTTTCTTCCTTCCTGTTTCTCTCTCTGTATATATGCATACACTCGGAAAAAATAGTTTTAGTCGGCTTTTTCAATCTATTGTCACCATAAAAACATTTAGAAAAAATAATTACGCATTTTGGAACTGCTCGGAGGTTTCTCTCACGCTGTATATTTATGTGTCAACTTACGTTCACTGAATGGAAAATAAATTACTTGCAATATGTGTACCGATATTGTCAGATTCCCGCGAAATAAATCTCGACATGCTCTCCTCAAGTAGTTTGTTAAATTCATTATCGCTATGGAAATGACTCTCTAAGAAATGTGATAGGATATTCTGATTGAGCTTGAAATTCTCTAATATCGCTTATAATTATCTACTATCTTAAATTTGATTTTCTGAATAACTATTCTATTACAGCAAAGATATCTTCAATTAACATGAGCCAAAATTCACTCTATTTTGTCCTGTGTTAAGTTAAGATCACTGCAGGAATCAATTTTTATGGATCTAATTATATATCATCATAGGGCTTGAATTTTCTATAGTGATGATAGATTTAAAAAATTAATTCAGAAAGCAGTGAAGAAATTCAGTTCGTGGAAATTTGATAGTATAAATACATTTATTGCAGTTAATTTATTCTTCATCCGGTGGACGTAAGTTGACGCATAATTATACAGTGTGATAGAGCGCTCCGAGCGCTTTCAGAATACACAATTATTTTTTCTAAATGTTTTTATGGTGACAATAGATTGCAAAAGTCGACTAAAATTGTTTTCTTCCAGGGTTATATATATGTGTGTGTGGATGTAGTCGCGGTGGCACACAATCTGTGTTTATTCAAAAAAAAATGAATGTTAACAAATATTGTATATGTAGATGAAGAGAACGAGAAACAAGAGACACCGATTAAAGATGAAAGAGAAATGAAAGGAAGATAGAGAATAAGATATAGATAGTGGATATGTCTATATGTGGTATTGCATTGTTAGAAATCATTGTTGGAATCGCTGAATATTATGGAAAATAAAGTTATTAATGGTGTTCCTCAAACTTTGAGTTTCTCTGGAAAAACACAATCACAAAAACATGAACGTACAACATTGAGGAAGATAAATAAATTAGGTTTCTATGAGACTCGAGTAATGCATAATGCGAGATCAGATGTTCAATCGAATAATTTGATAAATTCATTAAACGAGATTTTGCCGTCTTTATCTAAATCCAACGATTTGACCATGACTTTGATTTCATTTTGAGTCATATGTCGACCCATCTTGGACATAACACATTGAAGTTCATCCATAGTTAGAAAACCATTTCCATCGGAATCAAAGGTTTTGAAAGCGGCCTCCAGTTCTTGTGTGCTATATCGACGGGAATAGCTTTTGCCCATCGCTGCCTTAAATTCATTGAAATCGATTTTACCGCTTCCATCTTTATCCATTTGATTGTGTAGAGCCTCTAGCTCTTTATCATTGGCTTTGATATGCAAAACTTTCAAGATTTTCTTCAATTCTTTCTTCGAAATTTCACCTGATCGATCTAAAATAATAATTGAAGAACAATGGGAAAGAAAGGTTGGATGATTATTTTTGACATACTGCAATCGAATAGATTGAAAGCATTACGTAACTCCTTCTCTTGACCAGATGTCAAATTAGCCATGAAATATAGATTTAATCTAGACGAAAAAAAGAAACGACACAATGAAGATATTTGAATATACAGGACGTATGTATTGTGCTAACTAATATTGCTGTAATTCTCAAGATGAACGACTAGTGTGTCTCGCACCTCACAAGGTTTAAAGGATTGAATCAAGACGTGAAAATCATTTGATTTAAATTGAATCCTTGTTGCACTGTTTGACTCACTCTCAAAAAAATGTTAATATAAGAGTCTATATACAGTAAGCTGATTTTTTGCTACATTCTCTACATCTGTTACTTGCAGTTAGAAAAGCAAAATAAGCCAACAGAAATTATACCGGGAATTTTTCTTTCGCTCGCTTTTCTTTTTTTCTTTTTAGTTTGTATCGAAACAAACAACTCATCGCCCGAGAAAATCTTACACTGGTTAGAAACAATGACGCATGCGTCACTATTATGATGATGCTTTATAGTTATTCTAAGATCTTTTCATTGATAAAAATTCACATTGAAAGTGTTAGATTGCAGGTATTTTGTTGCGCACGTTCAACTGCAAAATAAAACACATCGGAAGAAACATTAGTGAACGATTGAGATACTTTGGGTGTATTTCTATGTGTTACTGCTTGTTCTTGTTTCAGGACGAACATTGTGATATTCACGTTCTTTGATAATCATGTCTAAGTAACATTTAGATGCAAGCTCTGCTGATTCATGACCCATCTCCATTTTATAAGCATCGACAAAATGAGAAGGTCGATACCATTGCTTGAAATTCGTTGATACATAGTTTCAAGTTTGTCTAAACGTACTATTTGATCACCCGAAAGAAGCTGCACAAGATTATGATAATCGACTCCAACATAAGATTCTGTATTGACCATCCCACTGACATCTCAAAAAGCAAGACGACGGTTGAAACACACAGTTGGATAATTGGCAATGGAAAACATGTATTTTAGTTAGAGAGAAGTCAAATTACTTATACTGTCAATGGCAAGATACCAGATGAATTGACATCATCCTGTCGAACTATTTCGACTTTTCAAAGATTGTTGCATTTAAGAATCATGTCAATGCAATCGTGTGCACACAATCAGATTCTTCTGGGTCTACTGAAACATTCTTTATTGATTCATCTTTCTCATCTATTGCTGCAATTTATGGTGTATGAATTCGAGAAAAAAGTCTACAGGACAGTGAGCGTTAAGTTTAAGAGAAGGCCCACGCACTCTTCTAACCACATCCATTCGCCATGAAAATCAGATATACCTGTCTCATTTCATAGCAGGCTTTGAATGTCGCCAATGGAAATGTTGGAAAAGTTTTTCTTTAGTTTTGGTATCGAAAATATATAAAATACAATCAATTTCACAATTTTCGTCAGGAAACGAGTCAGACGCGAGATTTTTATCATTTGCAATCTGCATTAGAAGTTATGATAAGTTGTCGATAGGCGTAAAGCGAATCCTCAATGAAATTGATATATACAGATGGCACAAGATATTTCATATCTGTCGTACGAACTTTTAAAGATGATGGCTAAATGGTCAATAGTTGCTCAAGAAAATAGGTACTTGTCATTGATGATACTCTCGAGAGTACACAAACAAGCACTTACCGAAGAATGCTGTATCGGCAATGCAAATATGGAAACTGCATACGTATATGATCTCGAAGACAGACAAATCAACATTAATCACATAGTTATGAAAAAACTGCATCAAGATCTCAATGTGGTACGAAACATAAAGAAAAATTATCATATTTTCTTGCAATAGAATCTCGATAGTGAATGCTTTACTGTCAATATGCGGAAAGTACATTTTCTTTCTCCCGCGGTTTGTTATCTGTAACTCTTTTTTCTGTCTGCTGGCTGACTAAATTATGGAGGTTAACCATGTGCACTAAATCTTTGAATCAATATCTACAGGTATATGAGATTGCTGTGTATACGAACCCGTCGACCGCTGTGATCGTAAGTCTTTTCTTCATCTACACCATGTATGCATACTCATCGTTTTTAATACGTTTCAAAAAAGTTGTATGAATAATTTAAAAATAATTTTATCTCTTCCGTTATTTGGTACACATAATGTACAATAACTGACGTCTTTGGACGTAAAAAGTTCTCTTTAGACTGAAGAAATTGTACTTAAAGACAATAAACATATAAATGGACTGTCTTCGTCTTAGTATTGTCTGTCATATTCACACTTCTTCTTTGTTCTTCTTTTGAAGTCTATTTAATATTGGTATGGACGAAGAAAGTTAACATTTACGTATCATTTTTATCGGCTTGTCGGTACCAGTATTAAATAGACTTCCAAGGAAGAAAGAAGGAAAATTTAGAAAAATGGATGCAACATCTCTCATTCCGATGCCAGTATCTTTTCAATAGCAGATTCTTTTGAGTTGAAATCAACAGTTTATTTCTATCGCACTTAGGAGTAACTGTTGTAAAATTTTGAGCAAAAAAGATAACACTGGTTGAGCAAAGTTTTTCTGTAAGCGATCGTTCGCGACGTACAACAACTCTTACAAAATGAGGTTGGTCATTCATGATTCATTAGTTTTTTGCGTTTATGCATTAATGCCGTTGGGCTTCTTTCAAAAATGAAGAAACAATGTCATTACTCGTCACACTCATCTACTTCTCAATGGAAAAAGACTGGTGTCATCGTAATACAATTTATTATGAA